AATATCATATATATGGCTTTAAAATAAAGTCAAAATTTTAATAATTTAAAATTGATTGGCATACAAAATTTCTATGTACACATATTAACCTGTAGCAAAAGTATGTTCCGCCACCTAACTTCATGAAGTGAGCCCCCTTGCTTGCATAAGCGACTAGAGCACTTGACTACATAGTACATACTCACCCATGAAACAAAGAAGAGACAATTGAATTGGTTTTACTATTTAAGAACATTATAAAAAAAAAAATTGTAATTATTATTATTATTTTTCTATGAAAAAACAATAATAGTCCAATGAGAAGCATACGATGAGCAACTTTCTGTTTAATGAAGTTGTTCAAATATTATATAAAAATAAAATGTTTTGTCATGGAGCTTTTAGCCACGTCCCACTTGACCCTTTCTCCCCTTCAAAGATCAACAACCAAACCCCAAACTATATATCCTAATTAACAACGCATTTTCTTTTTGTAGTGGAAATCTAGGAGTAATCCACGATATATATATATATAAAAATCTTTATTTTTTAATTTATTTATTTATATGCTACATTCTCTCATGTCCAATCACTTTTCTACTTTACCTAAATCAGCATTTTGTCATTAACGTGTGCTTGGACTTACGTAGCTGCGTCAATTCGTTTACTACACATTATATTATAAAGGGACAATCCAATTTTTTTCTCAAAGTAGAATCTTATTTTTTATAATGGGATAGTTTAAAACTTATTTTTCAAATTATAGTACTTTTTTTTTGTCTTGTCATGTATTTTTTTTTTTTACAACGTGGGGAATCCGCACGCACTATTCGAAAGTATGCACGGGATAAATCATATTTCTGTGTAATAGCTCGCAAATCACACGGTCGGAAAGATAAACCACACTAGAAAAATCATTTGCGTTGAGTTCAACCAAGAGGTGTTGACAAGAATCAAACTCATCATCATCCCACCATTTCTACATGTTCTTTATAAAATAGTGAAACTTTAAAAATATGTTAATAAGAATTAAGCACACGTTGGTTTTATATAAAAATATTGTTAATAAGATTTTTTTTTTTTTTTTTTTTTTTGGAACCAATTAAGATATATCATCATAATTTTACATAAAAACTTGTATAGATCAGAGTCAATTCAGATGTATTCTTTTTAATATTAATAATAATAATATTAGTAATTTTTAACTAAATAAATTAAAATAATAAAAATTAACTAGTTGATAATATAATAAAATGGTCAAAATAGTTCAAATTTAAAATAATTATGCAAGTATCAATTAAATGGCTTTAATTGTAATCAACATTTTAAAATTTTATTAGGGAGTACTTTGGTGATGATAAAATGTCTAATCAATTCACCTAACATATTGTAGAAACACGATAATAAGTAATAACGTAACGGCATTGTAGAAACATATTTAAAAACATTCTATTTTAATGAATGATATTTAAATCTATGTATAGGGATGTTAAAGTCATAAGTGACTTCATATAACTCATCAGCTATGTCGCTTTCTAATTATACCATCACTCAAGTATATATGAATATCGCTAATACTCAAAGTGAGGAGGCTCCTTGTGCGCAGTAAGTAAAGGTCTAACCTTTGCGTTCAGCTGAGTTACTATGATTTACATTTTTTCATATGTTCTATCGAGTCGGGGTGCGAGACATCATTGGGGTTGGAGATTCAACCTTTTAGGAACAATGAATTGAATATTGCTATACTAATACTACACATCCCAAATTTAGAATCTAGGCCCATTGGTCACGTGCAAAGCCCGACATATATACTGGCCCAAAATGACGACTCAAATAATAGCTAAAGAATGGACAATTAAGAATAATACCTTGGTGTATGGGTTGAAGGTTAGGAACCATATCGCTGGACCAGGGGATTAAGTGAACTAAGTGATGACTTTTAATGCCTTATATAGTGTAGAGGGCTTTCCAGATTGTTGACAAACGTACGTTATCGACTTGCCTTCAATCTTGACCATACACATGTTCCCCCACCACTTGAATGTCAACCGTCTCCAGAGGATAAATAGAATGTCTTACCTTGTTGCACACAAGATGCATGATAGTTTGGTGGTTTAAAACTTGTGTTGTCTATCCCACATTTCACTCCATGCTTCCTTCTTCACCCCCTTGCACTTCTTTTATGAGTTTAAGAAGTCTTAATGAAACTCTCAATTAAGAGATTTAATTGCACTATTTACTCACCATACTTCATCTTTTTTTTTAATACCTATATGATTTTTTTGGATTACATGCACACCACTTTCTTTTTAAGTTATATGTCCACATTAAATAACGATGGTCATCAGATCAGATCTACCATTCCATAATATCATCAATCACACCACTAAGCATACAACAACAGGAATAGTTGGTAGTGATTGAACTGTGTTTAGTGGGAATTCTTGTGGCAGGTGAAATCATTATTCACTTAATTAGTCACCTTATATATATATATATATATATATATATATATATATATATATATATATATATGTTTGCACTACTTTGTATCACATGCACGCAAAGTACCACTTTCAAGTACGATAACCCTCCAACTTCATCACGCCATTCACCACTTAACTTTACCTTCTTCCATATATATCATCCACAAGCTTCTTTCATGTCTCCCATTATTTTATTTTCAAGTACAGTAAAAAATAGTTAAATTAATCATCTGCTAGATAATACATACAAATCTCATGTACGTCAACTAATACAAGATTATAACTATATGTATGTAAATCAATATGTAACAGAGTCAATAGTACTTAAAACTTGTGTATAATTTCGATGCGGGTTTAGACTCTAGACCAGGTACATAAGAATTTGCTAGGATTAGGAGATATAGCAGGGACTAAAGCGAGAGACAAAACTTTTTTTTTTTTTAATTGTGATTACATAAATGGGAAAAGAAAAAGAAAAATGAATTGAAGGATATAATCATCATTTATAGATCGAATACTTTCTTCCAGCATTTCTGTCATTAGGTCGCATGTGTTGATGTGTATACGATGTTTGAATTTCATTTGCTTTAGTCATGAGGGTCATGATTCATACTTTTTTTTTTTTTTTGAATTTTCTCCTTAATTGCTTGATTAAAAATATCCTTCTTACATTCCACTATATATAAAGGAGGGTTCAAGTAATAACATATTCTCTTATAAAAAGTGTAGACACATCTATACCCTCCATATTAATAAATCAAAAGCTAAGATTTTAAAATTACTAAACTTTTAAGTTTACAATATAATAATTGATACAATTAATCCCCGTGAATGTAGAATGTATATTGTAGATATGTAACATGTATGAACAATAATGAAGTAGACTAGAAGTAGCTCAAAAGGGGTCTCTTTTATTCATAAGTGTTCTTTGTAGAGAGGGGAGAGTGTTTAGAGAGAGAAGGGAAGAGGAAGGAACCCCTAAAATGAAAGGGTTAAAAGCCCTTATATAGGTCAAACCAAGTCGGGTTTGACATTGACCCGAACCGTTTGACCTGACCCAAATAGGAGCACGGAGCGTATGGAGAGCCTGAACCAAGGGTATATTCCCCATCAATAATTATAACCTCCGTTCTTAAAAAATTTCAATAATTATAAAATTGATCCTGTATGTTTTTTATTTTATTTTTTTTTTTTTTTATTATAAAGAGATCGACTAGATAGTACATAATTATGTAATTCTTTAAAGAATAATGGGAAACTGGTCAAATAGACCCTTGAACTTTACGCAAAAGTGTAATTAAACTCTCAAATTTGTCAAAATGAGTCAAATAAGTTCGATTTACCAGTAACCAATATGTTACCGGTAATATTATCGACGTTGACCGTCGCAACCACCATTAAAAACCTATAAAGCAACTTTCGATGACCTTTTTCACTAGAGGAGGCGATTGGATCGGTCGCCTTCTCAAGTAGAGAAGGCATACCAGTCCAGTCGCCTTCTCCGCCGGAGAATACGACTGGCTGGTTGTCTTCTTCGGTTAGGCCACCTGATTTTTTTAAAAAAATTTTGTTGTCACTGGAATTATTATCGGAAATGTCCTCAGAATATTTTAATGACATGTTATTATATTCCAAGTGAATAACCGGATATTGAGTTTAGACACACTAAAATAACAAGTTCAAATCTTTAATTGCACTTTTTAAAGTTTAAGGGTCTAGTTACACTTTTGCATAAAGTTCAAGGGTCTATTTAACCTTTTTTTTCAAGAATAATTAAGTGAGACATATACCTTGTATTGTAACACAGTATGTAGTTATATATATTACGGAGTATAATTAAGCTAACTCACTATATATCATTCCCATATGCTTACTCATTTGATCAAGCGACTATTACTTGACCGAGTTGGATGTTTTATGCTAAAGTGAAAAGAAATCAACTAAAAAAAAAAAAAAGAGGAATAAATAGAGTATATACTTAATACTTAAGAAACAACACCATTTTTAATCTTTAAAAATGAAAAATAAATTAGTCTAATGTATGGTGATATTGTTTGGCTATGTGTCCTAGGTCCAGGTGGTAGATCATGATCCACCTTGTATTTTAGATCCAACTTTAAAAATTATATATTCGTAGTTAACATATTACGTTGATAAATTATGAGTTGCCAAATAAATTAGAGTTAAATACATGATATTGAAAAAAAAAATCTGCATATACACTAATTACCGCCGCAATAATAAGGACTAGGATGGTACGTATATGCTTGGGATATAATTAACATTTAAAGAATCCAGGAAAAATGATACAATATTTTAATTTATCCTAATTATAATTAATAATAATGTGACATAAAACTAAAGTTTTCCGTTGTACCGAAAAAAATTGTGACTTAACTAAAGCCCCCATCCTGTATGGAAAGTTCTTGGATGGCGTTGCATCCACTCGCCGCTATCCCCACCTAAAATAAACCTCTCCCCACGTGCTGTCCCACAAATCTTTTTCCTCTACTTAAACACCTCTTGCCCCTACCATATTTCTGTAACCCATTTTCTCCATTTTCGAGCTTTCAAGAAAATTAAAAAAAAAAAAAAATTCTAATGGCTCCGCTTCCCGATTTGTGGCGTAGCTCTCTCGCCTCCGCCTTCAGGACCGCCTTGGCTTGCTCTATAGTGGGTGTCGCCACCCTTTACGGCCCGGAGGCGCTGAAGCGCCAAATAGCATTCCCGGCCTTTTCTTACGTCAACGTTATTCTTATTCTGACGGACACCACCTTGGGCGACGCCTTGCGTGGCTGCTGGTACGCTATCTACGCCACCTGCCTAGGGGTGTGCCCGGCTATTCTGAGCCTGTGGCTGATTGGCCCGGCCCACCTCACCACCGGCACCGCCGCGGCCGCCGTGGCTATCACCGCCTTCATTGTCGTGCTGCCGCAAAACACCCACGTTGTAGCCAAGCGCATCGCGCTCGGCCAGACGGTTCTCGTCTACGCTTTAGCCGGCCCCCGGACTCAGCCCATCATGCACCCTCTCCGCGTCGCCGCCAGCACCGCCATTGCCGTCGCAGCTTGTGTCCTGGCTTTGCTGCTTCCTTACCCTAGCCTAGCTTCTTCTAAGGTGACAACCCCTTCTTCTCCTCCCATTACATAATCTATAAAAAAAATATATATATTAACTAAAATTACAAAATCAACATACCCAATGGTGTGTACTAGTAAACCAGCTCAAGCCGAAAACGTCACGTAGGAGTCAAACTTTTTGGTTATTAAGTTAATGACTAATTTGGCAACTAGCATACTCGAGGGAGGGTGTGTACTAATAAACCAGCTCAAACCAAAAACGTCACAGACTTTTCTGGTCGGAGTCAAACTTTTTGGTTATTAAGTTAATGACTAATTTGGCAACCAGTATACCCGAGGGTGTGTACTCGTAAACCAGCTCAAACCAAAAACGTCACAGACTTCTTTGGTTGTAATTAATTTTTGTGGTTATTAAGTTAATGACTAATTTGGCAAGGAGTTGCCCAACATGAAACCAGCACGTAATTACTATACGTACATGCGTCGTATGAAACACAATCAATTCTGAAACATGTGGATTTGATGATTTTGTTTCAGGTGAAACACAACTGCCACCTCTTCGCCGAGAATGTTTCTCAGAGATTAAACCTTCTGGTGAAAGCATTTTCTGCAGAAGATAACGCGTCTGCACTATCGTTGGTTTCTCAAGCCAAGTCCTTAAATGCTAGCGGAGCTAAATTTTTGCAGAATATCAAATCCAAGCAAGTAAGCAATTAATATAATATAACATCTGTGTTTTTTTTTATGGTACGACAAGTAAATAAATTCGGAATTGACCTTGTAACCTTACATTAAATTCCAGGAAAGCATGCAGTGGGAAAGGTATCCGATCAAGTTCTTCCGACCGTATTGCAAGAACCCCGGGGAGAGGCTACAAGAATACGAAACACCATTAAGGGGGATGGAAATGGGTTTAGTTGATAATAATCCCCCACAATTCCCAGTAACAGTACTGTTAAGCTCATCAGAGGTGAAAGACAGCTTGGATTCTCTTACAGGCCACATTTCAAAGCAAGTCAAAGGAAGGCTGTTTGACTTAGCAACTGTCCCAGAATCAAACGCGCAAAATGCGGTGAAGTTTCTTCATCAAAAACTTCAACCTGTCACCCTACAAGATCTATCCTCCTTCTTCTTCTTGTTTTCCCTGAAACTTCTCTTGATAAAGCCCTCATCTTCAATTCTTAAAGATAAGGATGGGTCGAAGGAACAAGAAGAGCGGTTCTTGGATAAGATTTACAGTAACTTTGTCGGTCAGATGAACAATAAAAGGTTTGTGGCATCCTTAAAATACGCACTCGCGCTTGGGCTTGCCGTGTTTTTTGGGTCGATTTACAGCAAGCCTGATGGGTTCTGGGCAGGGCTGACGGTTGCCATAAGCTATGTCTCCGCGAGAGAAGCGACTTTCAGAATCGCCAACGTTAAGGCTCAGGGGACAGTACTAGGATCGATCTATGGAGTGTTGGGGTGTTTCGTTTTCGCGAAATACGAGGAGCTCCGGTTCATTTCTCTCATTCCTTGGTTCATAGTCTGCAGTTTTCTGCGGCGGAGCCGAATGTACGGCCCGGCGGGAGGGATCTCCGCCTGTATAGGGGCGGTGCTAATTCTGGGTCGAGAAGGGTTTGGGCCGCCAAGGGAATTCGCCATGGCGAGAATCATGGAGACCTTTATAGGACTGGCGTGTTCCATTACAGTGGAGCTTCTTTTCCGGCCAACAAGAGCTTCATCCCTGGCGAAAATCCAGCTTTCTAAAAGCCTGCAACTCTTGAACCAGTGCATAATCTCAATAGATTATTCAAGCAATAATCAGTCCAAGCTGGAGGAGACCCAGAAAATTTTAAAATCGAGTGTCACTCAGCTGGGGAAATTTATTGGGGAAGCTGAGGTGGAGCCCAATTTCTGGTTTCTTCCTTTCCATAGTGCTTGTTATGGTAAGCTCATGGGGTCCTTGTCAAAAGTTGTGGAATATCTACACTTTGTGGCCCAAGCACTGAGATTCCTGGAACAAGAATCTGCCCTGATGGGCAGGCTAGATTCCGATCATCTCAGCCTTTTCAGAGATCATGTTGGCCCTTCAATCAAATCCTTTGAGGAGATCATCAGTTTGGTGGGATCAGTCTCGGTTCTTGACAAGGAATTTGAGAAGAAGAAAAGCTCGATCGACCCAGAACTGGGAAAATTACCAACAAGCAACAACATAACGGGATTAAGCGATGAAGAGATTGATAACAAACTGAAATCCTTCATGGAAGATTCCAGACAGTTTGTTGATCAGAAAGATGAAGATGATGATGATGAGGTGATGATGAACAGCCAAGTGGCGCTGAGTTTAAGTGCCCTGGCGTTTTGCATGAGAGGCATAGTTAGAGAGACGAAAGAAATTGATAAGGCAATAAAAGAACTTGTACAGTGGGAAAATCCCTCCAGCCCTGTAAATTTGCATGAAATTTCATGCAAAATACGTGCTCTTGCACATACTGTAACAAACTGATGATATCAATCAAGATAAACTCAGGTTATTATATATACATCCATAAAAATAACCTTATTATACTCTTGATTATATTAATATAACATTTATTGTTATACCTCCCCATGCATTGTCTCCAATAATAATAATCCCTTTTCTTATATATAGTATTACAACAATCAAAAGATGGATTCTGAATTCAAATATTTGTTCGATAACAATTATTCAATTAATCAATTTCAAATGTTAACGTCAAACAACATTTCATGATGAAGATCATCATAAGGAATTGGCCGGTGACAAAAACTTTAATTTGCTTATACTTTTTCTTTTTTGAGTTATTATTTGGTGAATTAATGACTATTTTGGTCCCTTTACTATGCCATAATTATCAAATTGATCCTCAACTATTAATTTCGTAATCAATTTGGTCCTCCGTAATTATCAAATTGATTATCTATCAATCAATTTGACGGAAGACAAAATTGATTATGAAATCAATAGTTGATGATTTAATGGGTCAAAACTAATAGGCAAGGACCAATTTGATAATTAGGATATAGTCGAGGGACCAAAACGGTAATTAATTCTTATTTGGTCAACAAATGTATAGTTAGTGGAAAGACAAAACTTCAAGTGCCCCCCAAGAAAAGGAAGAGGATTTTCCTCTCCTCAATATATGCAATTAATTGACTAAGTCCATAGCATTTAGCAACATGCTGGGGGTAATGAAATACCCATTAGACAGCAGCCTACTACATACTTTAATTTATTAAATTATGTACCATTTTTTTCGCAGGGATTTCCCCACTTTTATGAAACACGGCACCTTATTCATTCCAATTACTTCTACGCTTTAGCATTAAGAATTTGAAGATGATATATAGCCTCTAAACAAAATACCTTTTTGTAATCAGAGAACCAAGAATGTATGATGATGATTATCATCATCATGAACCAAGAATGTATGATGATATGATGATCATCATCATGAACCAAGAATGTATGATGATGATGATGATCATCATCATCATCATGATCATCAAACAACTGCCTGGAACTTGCGAATTAATTATCAATGCTCTAAACATAAAAATGTTGGGTCAAAAAACCAAACATATATAAATGTCCTTAAATTCTATGGGACAACCTAGGGAGATATACTATGAATCCCATTAACTTTAAAGTCAAGAATGTAGCACGCACAACACGATCGAGCATCAGTGGGATGAACCCTCGAATGTCAAGTGGTCAAAGACAAGTGTGATTATATATATAACCAAAGACGACATTCTCTTTTGCTAGGCGCCGCATAATTAAAAACTCTAGTAGCTGCAGGGAAAATGCATGTGCTTTTTGGGCGGCTGCAAGATTAAAATAAAGTACTACTCCGTATATATTAGGGTGAGGATTAAACAACTATTATGATAAGATTGTTAGATCGTTCATGCAAGTTGATGATAAACAGCTATAAAGTTATCAAGATCGAGTTTAATGGGTTGGTGATGACTGATGATTTGGGGAGGAAAAGTTCGACTAGCTAGTAAGAGATCAGGGATAATACTTTGTAGCTAATTTTTATAATCATGTAAATCTATTAACATATTATTTGAATTTGTCATCAATTTTTCAACATTTCATGTCGATTAATAAATTACAATACCTTTTTGTGAGTGTTTGGACTTCAAAATGCGATCTCACACAACCATTGAGAATCATTTGTTAGCAATATATATGAAGTCATGACCGACGGTTGAGGTTTGCTAAAATATAAAGATCGAGATCAGAAAAAATGTTGGTTAATCTTACAAATATTATATTACAAACTTGAAAATTGTAATTAATAATTATAAAATTTATGTCATTTATGTTTCTTTTACTAAGACACTCGACCATTAATGAACATTGACCGACGACTGAAATCAGTCCTCACTTTTTACAGTATGAATTGCTTTCATATGAGAATCACTCCAAAAAAAAATATGAGAATCACTCCAAGGTGAGAACTTATGGATAAATCCAAACCATTGATCAGCAAGATCTGATGGATGGGAAATCAAGTACAGAATGAGTGGGATCATTTTCATAAATATTATGGTTTGAATTTGTCCACAGGTTCTCAGCTAACGCATAGTTCTGAACTGATTAGGACATATATATATATATATATATATATATATATATATATATATATATATATATATATATATAGAGAGAGAGAGAGAGAGAGAGAGAATTAGGTACAAATGTGCTATATATAAAGAGAGAGAGAGAGAGAGAGAGAATTAGGTACAAATGTGCTTGGTGCGCCCAGGTGCAGTTGTGCGGTTAAATATGAGCCATTGATCTTGCTTAAATCAACGTCCAAAATTATCAAAATTTAAAAAAAAAAAAAAAAAAAAAAAACGTGGTGACAATTTGATAATTTTTTACATCTAGGTCAAATTTAAGGTGCGTTGTTTTCCTTCTTAAGGTGTGTGGTTTTTGTGCTTAAGGTGCGTGGGTTATGTGCTTAATGTGAGTAGTTGTTGAAACTTGAGGTGCATGATTTTTCTTCTTAAGGTGCGTGGGTTATGTGCTTAATGTGAGTAGTTGTTGAAACTTGAGGTGCATGATTTTTCTTCTTAAGGTGCGTGATTTGTATGCTTAAAGTGCGTCAGTTGTGTGAAACTTAAGGTGAGCCGTTTAAAACCTTAGGTGCGTGGTTTGTGTTCTTAAGGTGCTTTCTTGTATGCTTAAGGTACGTGGTTTGTGTACTTAAGGTGCGTGGTTTGTGTTCTTAAGGTTAAGGTACTTTGTTTGTGTGCTTAAGATGCGCTTTTTTAATGTTGTGTGTCAACGGCACAACCGCACGGGAACCCCTTCCCTATATATATATAGGGATTAGGTGCATTTAAATGTTTCCCGTGAGGTTGTGCGGGTGATTAATGTGCGCGAGTTTTGTACATAATATGCGTGAATCTTGTGCTTAATGTGCGTGAGATTTGTATTTAATGTGCGTGAGTGTGTAATGTTTAATGTGCGTGAGTTTTGTATATAACTTGAAAATATGAAATGAATAGATTTTTAGACTAAACCAAGTTAAAAGTTTCACTTTGTGTGTGCGTGTGTGTTTTTTTTTGGGGGTACATGTATATATGCTAAAATGGTGTCATGCAAAAGATAGTTCTATTTGAAATTACTGTATTGATGTAGTGGATTTTTGTTCGTTTAAATATTGAATAACAAACAAGTTCACCACTGAAAATTATGATTTTTCCGATCATCAACAAAGTCATTGGAAAACGTCAAAATTCTGTTTGAAAATCCTTAGGGACCCGCAAAAACTTGAAACAATAATATAATGGCAGACTCATTGATCAATTAATTTTTATTTTTTTTTTAAGATTAGTATAAATTAGGACTACTTATTATATTTTGGTCAAACGTAAAGGGAGACGAGTAGATAGGTACTGAAGGAGTATTATTTGCACCAGCACCAGCACCAATTAGGGAAAAGGGGACCAGAGCAGAAATTAGAAGAAGAAGAAACATAACTGTAGCGGCCATACTTCAGTTGGGATGGAGATCAAAAGGGGAAAATAATATACTCCGTATTAATTTTGTTTGCATTGAGTCTTCTATTAACTAATAATGTGATTTGCAGAACGAGTCATCATATCAATAGTATCTCCTGAACTAATTAAACATTTTCAGATACAACAGAAACAGACAATTTTAAAGTCAGTTAGAAAAATCATAGTTTAGCTAGTAACTACCTCAAGCAATATAATCCTCAGGCAAAATGAACCTAACATCAATCGGGGCATACAAAATGTGTAATTTGGGCTTGAACAAAATGAACATTTGTTGCTAGTCACTCTGTAGTCTGTACATAAGTTTGCTTGTACGTGAATTGATTAGTTTGGTTGGTTTCTGACTGGGAAAATATCGTAACTGATGGGTCTTATTATTAGCTTCAACATGCATTCAAAAAAAAAAAAAAAAAAACTAAATTAAATGCTCATTCCTCTTCCATGACTTGATTGGACTTTCTCACTTTCCACCTATACTAGCTAGCTACTGTTGGAAAAATCTTGAGAGTTGGTCCAAATCCTTTTTATTTCCAATTTTATTGTCCTCACATCAGTACTCTTGGTCCAAGTTTTTGACATACTTTGTGGCTATTATTTTTTCATTTCAAATGAGTGGATCTTATGCATTAAGAATGAGTAATACAGCGTTAGATGTGAACATTCGCGTGGTTGAGGAGTGAAGCATGTACTAGTATATAAAGCAATATTCAATCGTTCATTAAATACACCAAAAATATCTTCCTCCTCTTTAATCCTTCCGTCCTATCGTCTGAGCAAAGTCAAGTTAACATGTGCTATAGCGGGTGTAAGCTAAATGTAGTCACTTTGCGTAGCTTATCGAAAGTGTGCCAGGAACGAACAAATAACGCTTTTAAGGTAAGTGTGCCAGGAACGGACAAATAACGCTTTTAAGGTGGCGTTATATAACACTGCACAAACTTCTTTTCACCCTTGTTCCCTTTTCATAAATATCGCTAGGTTAGCCTCCGTTGACATTGCTTATATTTTTCAACAATTAAAAGCGTTATTTCATACAACAACAATCAACTTCTCGACTCTATGGCTCCTTCTGGCATACTCGATCTATCCAAAATTACTGCTCTAGATAGGAAAAACTACCAGCGTTGGGCACAAAGAATGCTCATCCTCTTTATTTGACCATCTAAAACTAACCTATGTGTTGTGCTCAAATACACCCGAACCTACTCAACATGTGCTTCATTTTCGTGATCCTAGAGAGGTCAGTCCTGAACCAAAGTACAATCATGGTCAAGTATCGGATGTAACCCCGCTACAATTTATAGATGACAACATGGCAGCCAGAGAATACTTTCTTTCACAAATGAATAACAAGTTGTTTCACATGTGTATCAAATAAGACTCGACAAAAATTGTTTGGGAAATGATGTGCAAAGAAATACGATGCTGAAATGCTAAAAGTGAAGTGTCACAAATGACAAGAATAAAAGGACTCAGAAGACATCCAACAAGAATCACGGCAACTTCAGAAGGAAAAAACGAATAAACTCAAAAGAGGCTGCTTTGTGTG